CCGCTTCTCGGTTTATAAAGCGTAAAGTGTCTCAACCCAGGTTATACAGTATAACCAGCTATGAAATTCATTCCTTAAATAATGAATTAGTTACCCCATTAAATGAATTTCCTATCTTGTTTTTATAACGAGTTAGTATCATATTATAATAAATTTTTAATCTCATTCTCCAAGAGTTGGTAGTCTCATTACAACGAGTTTGATATCATATTAAAACGTTTCAACTAGTTAGTCGTCTTTTTATAATTATAATTAATTATCTATCGTGTTCATAACTTAGTATCTCACTATAACATGTTACATATGTAGTTATTTCATCAAAGTAGGTCTTTTTTATCTCGTTATTCAGGAGACAGTAGTTTTCGCTAGAAAGAGTTTGTTTAATTGGGTTTTCCGGAGAAATCTTGGCAAATCTTGATAGCTTTGCTTACATTTTTATCAGCCAGTCAAATTGCGCACAGACTCTAATATTGAACTGTCTAGACTCCTTATAAGTAAATGAAATATTTATTGTTCATTGTTTTAATATGTTTTCTCCCACCTTTGTTAAACAGTTTAAACTGTTGAAATATAATTATATCTTGCTACAAAACAAAATACTAAGTATATTATGGTCATTTATATATTTGATGGAGAAAATAGGTGGATTCTGAAAAAAAAAATGTAAAAATTCCTGATAATTTAAAATACAGTTATTGACTTCTGAATTCTGCCCACTTGTTACTATACGGACTTTGTCAGGAACTGATTAACCTCAGCCTTTGGCCTCGGTCAATCAATTCCTCACCAGGTCTGCATTCTCACAAGTAGACCTCATCAAAAGTCTTTTTTTTTTTCTTAACGAGATTACTATATTTTTTAAACTTGTCAGAAATTAGACTATCCAGTTTTCGTTGCAAATATTGGTCATGATGCAAAATTTTCAGGAATTTGCAAGAAATTTTAAGACTTTCGAGTGTCAATAAGCCACTAGCATGATTAGTAGGTCATTGATTTGCCATTTGAAAGTGTAAAAAAATACCAGTAAGTCAAGTAAATGTTTTTCATGTCCATAAGTAGAATGTTTTTGCCTAGTTAACATCCTTAAAGACACAGATTTTTGTTGAGGAATTCCTACATACTGATTCTTTATAAAATGTATTTGTTGCTATGTGGACAAGTTTTGTTGCTATGGATGAATTAACTTAAAAATACTTTTAAAAAACCAGTCTGACAATGTCTATTCTGGGCAATAGCAATTCAATTATTAGAATCAGATAATCTTTTAAAAACTTATAAATAAGTGCTAAAAATAACTTTCAATGCTTTGTTGCTAAGGAAAATTTGCTGTTGCCATGGAGATAGCTTATTGTAAAATAGTCTTTAGTATACAAGAAGAAATATTTTATATTTTATTATTTTAAAATTTGTTTTTGGTACTCAATATTAAAATTTATTCGATTTTTCTTCCAATGCTTTACATTTTCCCCTTTTTAAATTTATCAAACCATCCATTTTTGTTGCTTAGCAACAGTTAAGAATTTCAAATTTGCAAAACTTTTTATTTCAAATTCTAAGAGAGGCTTTCCTGTGGTTTTACATGAAATAGATGAAACAATTGTATTAAGATGGTGAAATGAATAATATCGAATTGATTTTTGCTAAAATCAAGCAAAACGCTGAATCAGCAAAAAATGGGAAACATGTATCTTTACCTGTGTCTATAGCAAATATATTAGAGAATGTAATTTCTTTTTATTATGTTGACAGAACACTTTAAACGTGTATCTTATTTATTACACTAAATAAGAAAAAAAATTACTATATTTTCATTTTGAATAAAGCCTTCAAAATGAGTGAAATTTCGTCAATCTACAAAGAAAAATTTGCCGGTTGCTAGGGAAATTTCTTTGTCCAGGTTTCCATAGTAACAATGACCCAAAATATTTTTCCTTCCACATACATGGCTTATAGCCCAAGAAAAAACTGTGAGTGAAAAATCATTAATTTCTGAGAACCCCATGTATCACCTACTGCCTGATTGTTACATGGACCTGTACTTAATTAATGACACACACCTCCTTTTTCTTTATCATTGATCAAACAACAAAGATTGAAATATAATAAATGTGTGTTTTATAGCTGAATAGACCTAAGAAGGGTGGTTCAAAATTCAAATTTATAAACATAAATCAAAAAAATCAAAATTTACATAATGATTAGAAAGAAACCAGATTATTATTATCAAGCCAATCATTTAATTATTTGTTTGTAAACATTAACTTAAGATTTTGTTTAATTGAAGGATTGAGGATATGTTTTACAATAAAATAAAAACCCAGTAAAATGGGGAGGTAGTGGTGACAATATATCATGAATGTGTATTATATAAAGTAATTGAATGTAATTGAAAAAGTAATTGAAATTACATGGTATTTTTTCAGTGTAATTAATTAAATTACAATTACAAGTAATTGAAAAATGTTCAATTACAAATTACTTCCAATTACTTCAAAAAATGTAATTAATTACAGTCAATTACAATTACTTTTTTCAATTACCCCATCTCTGGTGTGCTTACTAAGAAATCAATTGGCCTAGGACAAGTTTGTGCTTACTGGAAGCTGAGTTTGAATTGGACTCACTTATGCCTACTAAGAGCTGAGTTAGACTAGGATGAGCTTGGGTTTACTGGAAGCTGAGTTTGAGTTGGACTCACTTATGCCTATACCAAGAGCTGAGTTAGACCAGGATGAGCTTGGGCTTATTGGAAGCTGATCGAGTCTGACTATTAATGACTAGCATTTGCTTACTAAGATTTGAGTTGGACTCTAGCCTGTGCTTAGTGAGAGTTAATTTGGACTAGGACTAGCTAGTGTTTACTGAGGGCTGAGTTAGACTAGGATGGACTTGTGATTACTGAGAATTAAGTTAGACTAGGACTAGTTTCTGCTTACTGAGAGCTGTTAGAGACTAAGACTAATTTCTGCTTGCTGGGAGCTGAACTGGATTATGGGACTAGTCTGTGCATATTGGGACCTGAGATGGACTAGGCAGGGGCGTCGGCAAAGGGACTGCCACCCCAATAATTTTGCAAAAAAAAATTTTAAAAAAAAAAAAATGAAAGAAAAGGAAATCTTAAATAAGATATACAAAATCTGTAATGGCAATATCTGTGGTCAATGACACCCCCCCCCCCCCCCCGTAAAAAATACTACTAAACTCGAGGGGGATCTTTTTACAACTTTTTGGTAAAACTTTTTTAAATGTTCAGGGACCAAGCAGCCATGCAATAAATGAATTTTTATACTTAAACTATAGCAAGACTATTCCTTCAAAAAGTGGGGTGAGGGAGCCCCCCCCCCCCCCTTGCACTCGTACTAATGGCCTGTTTGAAAAGGCGTTATATCCAAAAATGGAAATGCGTTATTTTATATTAATAGATACTTGAAAGATTGAATCAAAGCCATCTTTATTTATGCAATATTTAAAAGTATTTCTATATAATATTCCTGCACATCTCGCAGACAAGTGTTTACATGCGTATTAAGAGAACACTCTACTTGTGGAAATCCAGGATACAGGCAGATTCAGATTGGGACTTTGCTTGCCATGTATTAAAAATTCATGTCAATTTTGAAAATATTTTTCTCTTCTCTTGGAAAAAAGCAGGCAAACTATTTGCATGGGTATAATGAGAATTAGCCTTCAACCAAATTTGAGAAATCCATGAGCCTTGGTTGAGGTGTCTGGCATCAGCGAAGGACTAAGTTGGTTTAACACTGAAAATACATTACACATTTAAAAATCTTTTTTCCTGGAAATCTAACTACAATATGTTTAAATTATTTTTTAAGAAAGTAGCCCTTTATTTAATTGTGAAATTCATGTCCCGAAGGTAAGATTTCAGCCCCCGGAGTGGGCTAAGTTAGTCATGTATTGAAAATAAAAGGCGTACGTAAAAGACCTGTTCATAGTATAATGAATTGGTCGATCGATGTTTGGAAATCTTTCATAAATCGAAGTTGTAAGCTGTTAAATTAAAGCAAAATACATGTACTGAAACACTGGTTAAATGTAAAAGAACTTCAGTTGAATTTTTTTATAATGTCATACGTATTTCTGCATTTAAAAAATGGAGGGATTATGAAGGATTAATCATCCTGTTCATTTTAAATTTCTGTAAGTAACAATAAATGTTATACAATAATAGAAAACTATATGCATTTTAATCTCTATCTCATCATAAACTCTTCAAAGGTCTTTCTATGCTGTTTCGAAGAAAAAAAAACTCACTATCTCCTAGCTATTTAAAAATATCCCGGTTTTGTTTTATTTATTATAGCTAGTACATGTAACTTAAAACACATAAAACATTTTTTGATTGCATGTTTAATTGTTCTTTTTTTAATCATGTTAATCAGAAAGTACCTCAAGGCTATTGATTTAATGAGAAAAATATCAAGATTTTGATGAAAATTTTAATTATTTAGTTTATGTCACAAAAAGTTGGTTAGGACCCCCCCTTTTCGATCCAGTTCGCCTCCCCAGTGTCCGCCCCTTCTAAGATGTGCTTACTTAGAGCTGAGTTAATCTAGCTTGTGCTCACTTGGAGCTGAGATGGACTAGGGTGAGCTAGCTTACTCAGAGATTCAGGCAGATTGAGGACTATAGAAGATTCAGTCAATAGTGGGAGATGCTTGTTAAGGAAAAGGAAGTAACAGTTACAGTAATCAACAAAATTTTCGTGTCATCTTATTTTTGCGAGATAAGTTTTTGGTATTTGTAAGCAAGGCAATAATTCACAACTTTTGGTTAATGTTATATATGATCTTTATTATCATACCTCTTTACTCAGTCACTTTTAGAGAGTTTAGCTTATTTTTCTTAGATTTACAAACACTAAGCACTGTTTGATATTTTTTGCATGAAAGAGCTTTCAAAAAGAAGGAAGCAATATGCAACATGACAAACGGGAATTAGAGGAAATTCGGGATGTCAACAATAAACACGTTCATTACCAGTCTGACGCCCCCTTATTCTGGGCGTGCAGGGCCCCCGTGATGACTTTCGGTGACAACTTCATGTTAACATGTCTCTTAATGTCGTGATGCATGTGAATATTTTACTTTCCTTCAGCCCATCTGAGTTGTCTGCGTTTCATTTCCGGCTGCAAGGAAACTTGAGGGAGAAGAAATCAATATTTGAAGAACCGTGGATCGTATTTTTACTTATGTTGAAATAAAATAAATAGGAAGTGATTTAACAATGTAACAAAACGCTGAGCATAAATAATGTATGCAACTTTATTATATTACCTTTTTTTATGTTATTTTTCGCATTACCAGAGAGGTCCGATCTTAGTTCAACTTTTACCATTTTTGGAGTAACCCGAGTTTCCTTGAAAATTTTAGATGTACACGTGTACTACATTTAAACTATATTATCATTGCGTTAGGCTACTGTTCTAAGCTCTGTTTTCCAGGCATCTAAAAATGCATGAAGGAAGGTAATAATAGGTACCAATTAGTAGTAGAAACGTTGAATGCATTGAAGTGTGTCTATCAGTCTAGACGAACTCCAAAAACAGCGTTTCCGGAAGTAAGAAATTGAGACTGAAAAAGACTCCGAAAATAGAGTCTGCGCATGCGCACACACACAAAAAATGGCGATTTTTGAGCAAAAATGATGGGTCTACAAAAACTGTCCGTGCAAAGTTTTGGAAAGTATGGCAATTATGCCAGTACTCAGAAATGCTAAACAAAAGACGTTGGAAGAGATCGTATTTGTTAGATTTTTGATTTTATTTGCAAAAAAGGAGATATTTACTTTCAAAGTTAACGTTTCAGGTCAGATCAATTACAGAGAAAATGATACGTTTTGAGAAGTAAATATGCATAATAAAAGGGATATATATGCAAAATGGGACAATATGTATTGTAACTGTTAAAAACTTGACTGAATTTTACACATAAATTAGCATTACGGTTTTTTAATTTGTGTACGACATCTGAATTGAACGCGTAAGTTTTTACCATAGTTATTTACCGATTTTTTGTCACATACGAACAGATATTATTATGAAAACATTTTTAAAACTATTATCTATCAATATAATAACTTTAAAAACCACTCTTCTAGATATTAAGGACACAACATGTCTTCTAAAAATGAACATGTTAATATCTCTGCTCTGTGGTGAAAAATGCGCATTTTCTGATTAAAATAAATACAAGTTGGGTGTCTTCAATAAAAAATTTAAAGCACCTTTATTGTAGGCACGACATAAAATTTAAATCAAGGAGACAATAAATAAAATAAGAAAATATTTCTTACCGGCAGAATTGAATTCGATGTCGTATATCCAATTCACTATTATGCAAGAGTTTGAAGCGATAAATAAGTCAATATCCACAAAATAATTCAATAAATGCAATTATCCATTCAACAAAAAATAAAACGAAGTAATAATGCACTAAATACAGCCATTATGCAGCCGTTTATTTGGAGAAAGCGAGCGACAATCCATTGTTTGTTTACATCGGACGCCATTTTGCCGCGATGCATGATGGAGCCAAAGACTTCATTTTCGGAGTTCACGCTGTTTTTGGAGTTCGTCTAGACTGTCTATCAGCTGTCTCTATATATACACAAACTGACAAATAAGCTTGTGTTATTCATATTACCAGGAACATGTTATCTGATTATTACTAAATCCTATTTGAGTGAAAACTCTTCTGAGCTTATTTGTTCCATCATTTTTTTCTGTTCCCTGTATCAGAAAGGGAGGGGGGGGGGGGGTCACAATAGAGTGAAAATCTCGGTAGAAGAGCTAGGCTTTGAAAATTGTTTAAGTGTTACATGCTTATAATGAGCTTTTGGATGGATTCATTGGCTAGGAGTTAAAATCTTACACTTATGTGCATATTCCTTACCTTATCAGAGCTCTCAAATTCCCAAATTTAAATCTCAAATTTTATGAAAGAGTCATGCTTAAATTTTGTGAGTGATGCTCAGGACGACACCCTGCAGAAAATGGGAAGAATATTATTAGGAAAATGGGTTCAGCACTGGGAGCTAGCCCTTTGGCTTAATGGATGATTTGAGAACATGTACCCGTTTGTTTGACAGTTTTAGTCTGTTGACATTTTTCCTGGCTAAATATTAGTTTTGCAAGCATCTTGAGAGTATATAGTTTAAACATGTTAATTAAAGCTAATATTTAGAATGAGCTAAAAGGTTAAACTTCATACATATATCTAGTGCTAGGAACATGCCCTCACTACATACACGTAAAACACAGAACTAAAATGTATTTCAAACTCTACAAAGGAAATTGTGTTTTCAAGAAGTTCTAGCTGTGCACAGTATTTTTTTTTTCAAATATTAATCTCTGTGGACTCTTGCTGTGTAATTTGTTTTGAAATCAATGAATTTGCCTTCATCTTGAATAGCCACAATGAGAAGTGCATTTATGTTTTATTAATAAACAATTTAATATTTTGGCATGTTTTATTTGTGGTTAATAATTTTCATTGTTCAGAAGAATACTTATTCTCTTGATAAGCAAGTTTATTCGATCCTAAGTGATTAAATTTTGCTAATGCAAAAATGTTAATTATCAAAGAAGCATTGAAATGATAAATCATTTCTTTTTTCTTATAATTTTCAGTAGTGCATGATAAATGGTCTTAAGATCATCTTCAGACCTGTACAGAAATGGAGACTGGACACCAATCTCTGGCATTAGAGATTCTGATTCGTATAATTCTTGTTGTTACATTTCAGTAAGTGTTACACATTACACTATTAACAAAGTACAAGTTATGATAGGTATTTTATAGTGTACCTATTATAATTAATTATGAACCTATTTATAGTTATAGTAATTATATAACTATGTACCCTGCAGAACCCTTATCTGAACATAGAAGGCTTTTTTATATATACCAGTAATTTGTAATACATTTGAAAATAAATATAGTTTAAAAGTGAAGTCCAAAATTTATTTACTGTATTAATGTTCTTTTTTTTTTTACATTGCAAAAAAGGCCAGAAGTTTCAATTGGATGATCATGTTTTTGGGGTTTGATAAAGATCGACAATGATTACTCTACAAATTTAATTTGCTAGGAAAATTGCATACTGCCATGATACTGGTACTCATGCAGTACTAACAAACTTATTGTCTTCCTTCTCAGTATAACAGATGACGCCGTCCCGTACTTCAGAAAGATTCAGAAGGAAGAACAATGGCTGTACAGATATCCAAGAACTCCGAGCTTCTACCCCGGATATATACTATGGGTTTGTGTTAGAAAAATGTTTGAAGAATTGGACTAACTCCTTCCCCTCCAAAGAAATTGCTAAGAATTATGGATATTTTATAATTGAATTAAAAAGCTCTTATTTTGACATACAGTTGAACTTTGTTAGCTCAAACTTTGATATAGATCTGAAATACCATGTATATGTCAAAGTGAATTAAAAGTCCCCACCACTTTCTTTATGTATTTTAACCTCTATATCTCGAATCATCAGATATCTCAAAGTTTTTCCATGGTACCAAGAGGTTCGAGATAATAAGATTTGATGATACTATTGATTTATTATTAATATGGGAAAATGATGGATTATATCTTCACAAAAAAAATATATTGATTAAAAATTTCCGTAAGGAATTGGAGTTCAGTATGTATTTCATTAAATAAATGTGTTATTTACACAGGTACACGGTAGAAAAATCACAATATCTTTAAGTTAGGATTGTATAAATCAATCTATTTGAAATCAGACTCTTTGATCCACTCTCGTAGATCCCTACACAATTTTAACAGTGTTAATTACATATTTTTCAGAGTTTAACATGATTTTCATGAAAAATTTGTTGTTTGAAAAAATTATCCTCTGACCATTAAGATGGATTTTTTCTGAAAATGTTACAAATTTCTAAAAGAACTTAAGTATCAATATTTGAGACAAATTATTTTTAAGATGAAAATTATGAAAGAAAGCAGAGTAACAATTTATTTTACAGTTATTTCCCTTCTAAGAGGGTCCATTAGTTGTTTATGCTAATTTGTTCTTGTTAATGAGTTGGTGAGATATATCATTTTTTACTCTGATCTGTGTATGTTCACTAGGATGATTATTATGATTTCTTTCTCTCCTTCTTCAGGTGACTGTGTTGACTGTGCCTGTGGTGATGTCGATTATTGATTGTGTTGTCTCCCCTTTTACAGGTGACTGTGTTGACTGTGCCTGTGGTGATGTTGATTATTGATTGTGTTGTCTCTCCTTTTACAGGTGACTTTGTTGACTGTGCCTGTGGTGATGTTGATTATTGACTGTGTTGTCTCCCCTTTTACAGGTGACTGTGCCTGTGGTGATGTTGATTATTGATTGTGTTGTCTCCCCTTTTACAGGTGACTGTGTTGACTGTGCCTGTGGTGATGTTGATTATTGATTGTGTTGTCTCCCCTTTTACAGGTGACTGTGTTGACTGTGCCTTTGGTGATCTTTACAGGTGACTGTGTTGACTGTGGCTGTGATGATGTTGATTATTGATTGTGTTGTCTCCCTGTTTACAGGTGACTGTGTTGACTGTGCCTGTGGTGATGTTGATTACTGATTGTGTCGTCTCCCCTTTTACAGGTGACTGTGTTGACTGTGCCTGTGTTGATGGTGATGATTTTCTTGTTCATCAGAAGAGACAGGGTGGATGCAAAGCAAGCTCTCCTGTGTAGGTAGAGTACCAGGAAAACATCCCATGTAGCTGTTTAATTAGGATATTGATTAAGTAAACATAGAACTGTGATATTACCAGATCTGATCCCAAAAGTCAGAACCAAGCACAGTTTAAGGAAGATAACTCATCATTAAGTTTTTATCTGAAAATACCTCATGTAGCTCTATTATTTGGATAAAGATTTAGTACACAAAGAGCCATGATATCAACAACTATTATTACACATCTACTGATTTTTCTCTATGTAAAATTAGATCATTAGATGTGAATAATTCCCTAGAAATTACGGTGAATGGACTGATTCTGTTTTGCCATGTGTTTTAATAGTCAAATGTGCTAGCACCTGTTTTGAAAGTTAATTCTTGGTTATCCCTAATCCTCTAGATTTTACTTTTGAGAATTGAGAATTTTCAGAATAAAAGTATATTATTTTAGGCAGTTACATGTAACAAGATTTAAGTTCCCCTCAACCAGGATAATTTGCCACGGGAAATAGTCCTGTCCTTTGGGAATTAGAATCTTGCTAGGTCCGTCAATGATATACTTTAACTGTATAGTGATCCCCATCAGTAAAAAAAAAAAGCAATCACAATTCAAGGGAGATAACTCTTCATTAATTAAGTTTAGGTCTGAAAAATCATATAAGAACACGGTGATTTTAATTTATTAAGTCTAGAATATTATTTAATATGTATCAGTGTATGTGTGTGTGTATAAGGCATTTTGTGATATAGCTGTATTTATTTATGGTCATATTCTATCATTTTATACCTGTACAATAATAGGTGCCTCCCTGGCCATATTCCTGACTGGGTGTGTCACCAATTTTATCAAGCTGGGAGTTGGAAGGTTTGTAATCTGTCTGAGCTGTTTGTACTACATACAGTACTAACTACAAAACTCTCAAGAAAATCCACTAGCTTAATAGAAAGATAATCAGAATCAAACAGTAACGCTGAACACAGAATGAATGTAAAGACATATCTAAAAAAAAAAGTTGTGAAGGCATTGGAGGCCGGCACATTTTTACAGTGGTGGACTGTCTTCAGAAATAAAAATTTAGAGGAAATATTTGGGAATACTTAAATATTCTTTCTTCACTCCTTTTTTTTCATTAACTGATACATTTGACATTTTTCTCTTTTTAGCTCACCTGAGCTGAAAGCTGAAGTGAGCTTTTCTGATCACCTGTTGTCCGTCGTCCGTCCGTCTGTCCGTCCATCTGTCCGTCCGTCCGTCTGTAAACTTTTCACATTTTCAACTTCTTCTCAAGAACCACTGGGCCAATTTTAACCAAACTTGGTACAAAGTATCCTTGGGGGAAGGGGAGTTTAAATTGTTAAAATAAAGGGCCAAGTCCCCTTACAAGGGGAGATAATCAAGAAAAGACAAAAATAGGGTGGGATCATAAAAAAATCTTCTTCTCAAGAACCACTGGGCCAGAAAAGCTGAAACTTATATGGAAGCATCCTGGGGTAATGTAGATTCTAAATTGTTAAAATCATGACCCCCGGAAGTAGGGCGGGGCCAGAATAGGGAATCCAAGTTTTACATTGAAATATATAGGAAAAATCTTGAAAAATCTTCTTCTCAAGAACTACTGGGCCAGAAAAGCTGAAACTTGTATGGAAGCATCCTGGGGTAGTGTAGATTCTAAATTGTTCAAATCATGACCCCCGGGGGTAGGGCGGGGCCACAATAGGAAATACAAGTTTTACATTGAAATATATAGGAAAAAATCTTGAAAAATCTTCTTCTCAAGAACCAAGGGGCCAGAGAAGCTGAAACTTATGTGGAAGCATCCTGGGGTAGTGTAGATTCTAAGTTGTTCAAATCATGACCCCCAGGGGTAGGGCGGGGCTACAATAGGAAATACAAGTTTTACATTGAAATATATAGGAAAAAATCTTGAAAAATCTTCTTCTTAAGAACCAAGGGGCCAGAGAAGCTGAAACTTATGTGGAAGCATCCTGGGGTAGTGTAGATTCTAAATTGTTCAAATCATGACCCCCGGGGGTAGGGCGGGGCTACAATAGGAAATACAAGTTTTACATTGAAATATATAGGAAAAATCTTGAAAAATCTTCTTCTCAAGAACTACTGGGCCAGAAAAGCTGAAACTTATGTGGAAGCATCCTGGGGTAATGTAGATTTTAAATTGTTCAAATCATGACCCCTGGGGGTAGGGCAGGGCCACAGTAGGAAATACAAGTTTTACATTGAAATATATAGGAAAAATCTTGAAAAATCTTCTTCTCAAGAACCACTGGGCCAGAAAAGCTGAAACTTATGTGGAAGCATCCTGGGGTAATGTAGATTCTAAATTGTTAAAATCATGACCCCCGGGGGTAGGGCGGGGCCACAATAGGGAATCCAAGTTTTACATTGAAATATATAGGTAAAATCTTGAAAAATCTTCTTCTCAAGAACCACTGAGCCAGAAAAGCTGAAACTTATGTGGAAGCATCCTGGGGTAATGTAGATTCTAAATTGTTCAAATCATGACCCCCGGGGGTAGGGCGGGGCCACAATAGGAAATACAAGTTTTACATTGAAATATATAGGAAAAATCTTTAAAAATCTTCATCTCAAGAACCACTGGGCCACAAAAGCTGAAACTTATGTGGAAGCATCCTGGGGTAATGTAGATTCTAAATTGTTCAAATCATGACCCCTGGGGGTAGGGCGGGGCCAGAGTAGGGAATACAAGTTTTACATTGAAATATATAGGAAAAATCTTTAAAAATCTTCTTCTCAAGAACCACTGAGCCAGAAAAGCTGAAACTTATGTGGAAGCATCCTCAAGTAGTGTACACTCTTAATTGTTCAAATCATGACCCCGGGGATGGGGGCGGGGGGGAGGGGCACAATAGGGAATCCAAAGTTTTACATTGAAAAATATAGGAAAAATCTTTAAAAATGTTCTCAAGAACCACTGGAACAGAAAAACTGAAACTTATGTGGAAGCATCTTGGGGTAGTGTAGATTCTGAATTTTTCAAATCATGGCCCCTGGAGGTAGGGCGGGGCCACAATAGGTATTACAAGGGGGGAAGTCTTGTAATGAACAGCATGGCCAAAGTTACTCAGGTGAGCGATGTGGCCCATGGGCCTCTTGTTTCTTTCTAGTAAGTAAAACAAATCAATTCACTATCTGTAAAGCTTATTTTTCAAGACAACTTGTTTTCAAGAAAATTTTTAGTCAAAAAATTTTAAAGCAAATTTTGAAAAGCAATTGATTACATGCATTCATTCCTAAGGATTGGAAATTTCATACAAAGTATTAAATTGAACAGATTAATATTGAATTTCGTAATAACAAAACAAGATAACGAAATGAAAAATTGAAATTACATTTGTCTGAAATGCAAGTACAAGATACAAATAAGATTGTTTTAGAAATAAATACAAAGGATATGATAATTGATTCGTCTGTAGTGTTGTATGTCCATTCTTTCCTTAGACCTCGGCCAGATTTCCTGGAGCGATGCTTTCCTGATGGACAGATTCGAGATGACATGAACTGTACAGGGAGAGCTAAAGACGTCATTCAGGGTTACAAGAGTTTCCCCAGTGGACATTCCTCTTGTAAGTTTATAGGTCTCATTGACTCTTATAACTACAGGAATCTACTAAGATATTGCAGAGGTCTGTACAACATAATCTCAGTTAACTTTGTCATCCTAATGGAGATTGAAATTCATTTCCAACTAAATGAATTACTGTTGATTTTTGACTGTGTTGATGGAAATATTTCTTTTTTCCATACATGTTAATATGAGTAAGTACAATGTTTTTTCTGTCTTGATTTTGTAAATTTGTCAAATAATATTCATCTATTTTACAGTTGCTTTTTCCAGCCTGGGATTTACAGCCCTGTACTTTGCTGGAAAAATGCACATTTTTAACCGGAACGGTCACGGGAATTCCCTAAAGATCTGTCTGTTTGTCTCTCTGTTGATCTGGGCAACACTGATAGCAGTGTCAAGGACGGCCGACTTTCATCATCACTGGCAAGGTCAGTCCAAGGTCATGATGAAAACAGAACTGTGATTTTGTTTTACTATTTAAATTATTTACAGATTCAGATTTTTCAGATTTATTTTAAAATTATTTATAGTCCTTGATTTAATGGAGAAATGTCTCACTGTTGAGTTAAAAGGGAAAATGTATCTGTTTTTTATTTTTAATGAATTTTTTTATCAAACATTTCTTTGTAAAGCTGTTTAGAATTAATGGAGCATTATTTATAGAACATTTCCTTTCTAGATGTCACAGTGGGCAGTATCCTTGGAATGACCTTGACCTACTTTTGTTACCACCAGTATTACCCAGCTCTGTCTCGGTCCGTTTCCCACCTGCCGTATATTTCACTGCCGTCAGAGCGAGATCTCATTCCTACATCACCTGTACACATAATGAATAAAGCTGACCACGTAGACTCTCTCTTAAAAATGGTGTAATGCCAAAGACATCAGAACTTATGGTTGTGATCAGCTACAAGTGTTATACTTGTTTGTTCTGCATTCTTTGATGCTGACAGTGATCTGAATCTGATGTAAAACAGGTACACTGTTAAATACCAGCATAGTGTATAATTATGTAAATATACTTATTTCAATGTAAATCATATTTTATCACCTTTCAGGCTGCTTCTTGACTGCTACTTCAATTACAAGCTAATACATTGTATATCATGTTGTCCCTCAGACTCCAGTGGGCTAATTTATGATTGCGCTAATTAGTTAAGAGGAAAATAGTGTTTAATGAGTGTGCTGCTTATTTATGTACATTGACAGTATCTGTTTTGTAGAATTAATGTCAGTGTGTTTACTCTTCTGAATTATAAAACCAAATCAAGGACTGCTAATAATAAATAAATGTACTAAACTAACTAATATTGTTATCAAAAAGATGTTGAAATATGGAGACATGATATTTTTATATGTTAACTGTGATGTACTTGATTTTCTTTATTTTATTTATGAAGAATTATAGAAGTTTGGGAGAGTTAAGATATTGTTTCATATTCATTGTGTCAAATAATAACAAGGACCAAAACAGTAATTTTTTTCTATTTTTGTGTATGGTTTTATTTGAGTTGACTATAATTTGCTTCCCTTTATTTGCTAATGTATTGTCTATATTGTCAAATACTCAACTTAGGTCCTGAATTACCGATAAGAAATATTGTTATTGTTCATGTATATCTATTTTTAGTCCAGAGATCTTGTAATGATAGGATGTTCTAGTTTAAGACAATTATATCCTTTAAATTATTTTATACATTTTTGATGTACAATGTATATTATATTTCTTTACTTAAAGAATAAATGTTGAATAAAACATCTGTAAATTTGAATCAAAAGTGTTGAAAATGAATGCAAATGTTTTTATTCTATAGCATGAAAGTGAGAAAAACAATTGTGACATATTAAATGAATTGAAGATCCGTAATTGACAATTGATAACAAAATACTAATTCTGCTTTTCAGAAAGATAAAAAGAAAATGTGATTTTTTTTTCTAATCTGTAGAAACTATATAAATCATCTAAGATTAAGATATTTCTGCATTTTTTTCTGATTGCAAACAATTCTGCCTTCTACAATTAATTGTTATAAAAACAATTTAGAGTCACAAATAATTCTTTTATCTGTCATTAAAAACATGATCATCAAAGATAAGCGTGTTATTGTTAAAACAACACCCGTTCAGGATTTGAGCATCAAATTACTACTCCACCAAAGCCACACCATTAAACTTCACTCAAACCCTTCTTCAAAGAAATATTAAACAATTAACAAATTGATAGTTTTAATTATCATCAAAAGTTACTTGCCATGCACTCATCCAATAGGATTGTGGTATTTTGTATACTTCAACCAATCAAATTTTGAGTTTAATTTTTTTAGAGTAAAGGGAGAGAAATTTTACAGAAGTTCTATTTTATTTTGGTGAAGTCCTAAAGTCGAAGAGAAGATTGTCTTGAAGCCTTTCGGAAAGTAAGTAGTCATGCATTTTTGTTACATGTTTCCCCATCATTTATTAGTTTCATATTTTGTATGCTGCTATTTTGTTTTTAAAAACCCATGATTTTTTTTCTTATTTTTTTTTTATGATAATAATTTATTAATATAAGTCATTTACTGAAAGATAGACATCGCATTGCATATTCATTCAATTATGCATGATCTTTAGTATGGAGCTTGTAAAGCAATTTTTATCTAGTAATTAGTACATGTACATGTTAAATTATTTTTTCTCTTTTTGCACCTGTCCTAGTCCTTCACTAAACTAAAAACATCTAATTCTTTTCATTCACTGACGTACTTTAATTATCCGCTGGTTATGCGTTTTTTGCCCAACATATGTGATAACAAATAATTCGTTTTTTTTTTGTTTTTTTTTTGTTTGTTTGTTTGTTTGTTTGTTTTTTTGTTTGTTTTTTTGTAAATAATTCCACATTTTGACAATTCTTCAAAGAGTTGAATTTGACCATTTACTTAATGCATACCCCGTTGTCTGTCTTCAATGAAATGTCATTTTGTCAAACTCAATACTTGATATCTTTAGTACTATAATTTCGAAAACAATAATATTCATTTTAATTTAATCCCTCTCTTAATCTATAAAAATTATTTAAATTTTACATACGTTATTTTTCCTTATAAAATGTCAATATTATAATTTGTTTTACCTGGTAAATCCCTATTACTGTAATTAAATTATTTGCTTAGTAAATTCATTTTTAAACTAAAAAAATTATTTATATAGTAAGTAAGTAAAGTACTAAATTTATTTATTTATAGTGACATGTTTACATACACTTTTTATGTTTATCTAAAAAAAAAAGTCAAACACCCAGCCAATCGAGCCTATATGAAAAATTAAAAAATAAATAAATACAATTCATAAAGAAAAAGAGCACTGTTTTTATTACATGTAAGATATATATATAAAAGCACGTGAAAATTTACATATTTAAATATTGAAATATATACTGGCCTGTTTGCTTACATGTAGATGAGAAAATGCACGACATTGAAATGTATTGTGCAATTAATATTTAGCATTCTTATTTTCTGAAAATAAGTGAAGGTCTATATATGCATAAACAAGAGATACAAATACTTGTCGAGGACTTGTGCAACCTGCCGAGGACAATTTGAAATAAATATACGCAGAACATTTATATCTTGGTTTGGTTACAACCAGTGTTTTCAAAAAGTTTTGACCGATATTCAGCAGTTCAGAGCACAAAGGACGGTGCAATAAAAAAAAAATGAATTTAGTCTTCTACATTATTTCCAGAGTAAACGGTAAAAATTTGATCTTCAACAGGTTCGCCGTGATATCTACCAGTGTAAAAATTCCACATCTAAAGGGCGCCAAAATTGAACGGAAATGTTAGGCATATCAAGTACCCGGCATATAGTATAAAGGGGACGGTTCGCCCCCAAAGACCATTCGCGCTGGTTGCCTTCTCAGCCCCCCCCCCCCTCCCCCCAACGCACACATTTTCTGTCGCGGTATACCGGTATAGTTAAATCAAAGTAATGTGTTAATAAATTTTGGAAGTAAAATGTAATAAAAAGTAATAAAGTAATAATCCAATTCTAGATGATGTAATATATCTTTCAAATCACACTGCTACAATCGTTCATACGGTTTGTTCCCGTTTTGCACACATATGAATTTCAGGTATTGAAAAAATGTGTGCAAAACGGGAATTTGTCCAGGTAAGATAATTACATAATTGCTATAGTCTATAATAATTGCTATCAAAACATATTTTACCCCCTATACCTAATTATCAAATGTGTGCGAAACGGGGGGGGGGGGGGGGGGTGTTCCCCGAACGTCTACTGGACTAAACCAACATCTAATTTTCACACTCAATTAAGGGGCCCTCTAAGGGGTACAGGTAGGACCTACACTCATTTATGAACAAGCTTTACCTGTATTTATTGAAGGAGGAATTCTACAGAAACAATAATGTTTGGATCTTTAAGGCATCTCTTCTGAAACATGGTTTCAGCATGGAAATATTGATAAAAGATATTTATTGTTTTAACATGATTTTTTTTTTAGGGGAAATGTAAAAATCTTGAAGATTTTATGCATTAGTGTAAAAAGTGCTAAAAATAATGTGTTTTGTTTTCATAAATAATTTTTAAGCAAAAATAAGAAAAAAGCTTATCTGATTTTTCTTGACATTTTCTATTAGATATTTATACTATCCATTTATTTAGGGCAAACTTTAAACTCTTAAGGATCTTATTTGCAATTAAAACAATCTTTTCATTTTCTCCTAAAAAAGCCCCCAAAATTCATAAAAATCAATTTATACTAATATCAATCTTTCCATACCTAAGCCATATTTCAGAGATCGGTTAAATAAAATTTCCGTGAACATGTAAGTAGCATTCTTTCTTAAACAGGAAAAATCTATCGATCATATGTCATTTTAAACAAATTTTGCTTTAGATACTTTTGATTTAATTTAGTTTTAAATCACCGTTTCAAACCATTAAATTTAAATATTATAACAATAAATAATTTCAAAATCTTTGTTAGTTTGTATCATAAAACTCAATCATAATGTACATGTAATTTATTTTGGCAAAAATCTATCAAGAAGCGTAAGATACGATTATTTGAAAAAAAAAATCATTTTGAATTTTACCCCCCCTGGTTTTGGACAATATTTTTAAAGGTAAGTTGTCAAATAAATTTCCCTCTCCCCTCCTTTCAAAAACGATACAACGTGTCTGGATTTGATGTAAATAAAACGGTGCTAACTTTAGATTTAATTTAAATAATAATAAAAAAAAATCCTTGAAAATCCTACTTTGTGTGTTCGTGTGTGTGGAGGAGTGGACTTTCTCTGTTTGTAGATTTTTTTTCAAGTGCTGGAATATTCGCCAGCGCTCGACCATACAGCAACAGAGTGTAAGAGGGAGCAACATCTAAATGAAAATTTACATATTCGATCTAGAGGAATAGGCTATACTACAGGAAAAGTCTCTGCTGAGAAAAATAACCCCCCCCCCTTTCGTTCTATGGACCAGCAAATGCGATGTGAAAAAAGTTCTCCATGTTTAATATAGATTAAACAATACTTAAAATTTTAAATTTTGTGAAAGTGATGCTTTAAGTGCCAAGTGTTAGGTTAAAAAAAGTTATGCTTGAAAATAATTCATAATAAAATATTTATTATACGTGTACATGTACATGAAAAAAATATTTGTTTAGTGCCTTCAATTATAACTAATATTTAATCAATAAATATGTGCTTTAGTACACAGTTTTATCAGTAAATATTAAATTATTTGATTTTGACTACTTTGTTCAATAAAGGTAACACAGGTAAACTCTACCTGAACCCCATAGAGGGTCTCTTAATTGAGTGTGATAATTAAATAGTTGTTTTAGCCAGTAGACGTTCGGGGAATAAACCGAAACGGGAACACACCGTTCATACACTTATTATAATCAACTTCAAATATATTTTTTTGTAATTCGATCTTAGTCAAAGGATAAAATTCTAATCCAATGCGTTTATCCAACGTCTATATTGACTGGGTATCCCTCCAGTGTCTCTATAAACAGCCAATGTGGGAGCAAAGCGGTGTACCCCAAGAAAATACCCAATAAACCTCTTTTGAATATTATCTTTTGATTGGAATTTATTGAAACCCCAGACACCGAATGCACATTCCAAAACAGTATTACACAAAAGTAAAATAGTTTTTCTTAGTTCTAGTTCTTTATTCCGTGGGACGTACATCTCATAAGCATTAAGTCTCAAATCTTTTACCATCAATTGTAGATATAAATTTTCCAAGAGCACAACCCCCAGCTATAGCAAGATTTTCGGCATTTTTCATGAAATTACCAGTGTATGTAAACATTATACCCAAATACTTTTAATTCTAAACTGTTTCTAACTTATTTAATTTAAATACTAGAGATATTTTATTGAATAATTATCTTGCGTCGTGCTGCATCAGTATAGTTCTAAACACCGGAAAGCAACAGCAAAAAACAATATACAATTGATCTTGAACACTGATATCTCGAATCCCCGGATATCTCGAAGTTTCTTCTCGATCCCTTCAAATTCAAGACTGTATACACTGTTTAAAATTTATCTTTGGCTTTTGTGTTTATTTTATATTTTCTTTATTTGATATTTCGTCTTTATCTTTGACTATTGTGTTTATTTTATATTTTCTTTATTTGATTTTTCGTCTTTTCCTTCCAGAACATGGATCTACTGTTCAGTCCTTACCCCGACTGTTACCCCGCCCCCGTCATCACTATACAGGCCCGGGTACATCCGCCGACCCACCCTTCCACTACACAACAGCCAAAGTAAGTACATTTAGTAGATTTATTCTTTGGAATCGATAAGGTTATAAAAAAAGAATTTGGCTCCATTCATAAATTTCTCTGTAATATTCAAAACGTATCAAAAGTTTCTATTTGAAACCCTTACTTTGCATGGAACATTTGCTCACACATTTAAAAGACAACTTTAGTCTTTACTGATTTTTTTTCTTCAAGGAACAGAGAATCAATATATGTTTTTTTGTGGCCTTACTCCAGGTCGATTTTCTTACGTTATGACATTTAAATGATTGTTGTTTAATTATTGATCTTCACCGCAAATAAACAAAAAATCTCCATATATCTTATTGATTTAATAAGTTTTTCCATAAGGTTCTGTTTTTAGGGTAACATGTAGACACTTAGACTCCATCTCTTTCAATGTATGATTCTTTTGTTGTATGTATAATACATTTAATTTAAACACAAGTTCATGCAGTTTTGCATTATAATTCTCGTCCACACGTATTCGTGAACAGGATTGTCCCTATAACCTCCATCCCAACCCACTCCAAGATAACTTTAAAAAAAATCATTTAATATCTGATCTCGGACAACTTCATCTATATGTTTCGGTTTAAAAATAGCATAAATATTGCGACTCAGAACCAGTTGTTTCGCGTCTTTACATAAATATGTGAGACACAACTTTGAATAGAAATTGCAACTGAGTCGTGACATTTAATTTTTTTTAGGCAGAAATATATAGATGAAGTTGTCAGAGAGTAGAAGCTGAAAAAAAAAAACGGTTGTGAAATAATTTTAAAAAGTTATTCAACTGGGGAGGGGGGGGGGAGGTTAGGGACCATCCTGTCAGCGTGTACCTTTATTCTCAATAAGTAAATTCAAGATTTAATATAAAGCAAGTACTTCCCTCTGTTATTTAAAATAAATAAATAAGTAAATAAATAAAAGAATTACCGGGTGTTTAGGGGACACAAGCACACAGTACATGTAGCTATGTTTTTTTGTATACTTTATATCGTAAAAATTAAAGAAGGTAACCCGCCCTTCCCCCGGTTCCCACGGCTATAAATACACTCTCTTTCATTTAGGACATGACATGGGACAGTTGGACTGTGATATTTACAATAAGAGTGTTTAAAACTTATAGTTTTCAAAAGAAAATCTTAAAATATCGAAGCCTACTGATATTATGAATTTTGAATTTTGCACTTGTTCTTTGAATTAATAAGTTTTTCAAGGATTATATTTTTATGTCATACATGTATTATCTGAATGCCCGAATGTATAGTTTTATATCTACATGTAGCTTGTGTGTAATTTTTTTTTAAGTATCTATAGTTTGTGCTGTTTTATAAAAGGCTTTTTATGGTAGTAGGTCTAAAACTCCCCAAAACCTAGAAACTGACCTTTGAGCTACATTCAATTAATTCAACTCTGTTCCATTTGTCTGTCATTTCATTATCATTGACCTAAACCATATGTTGCCCTTACAAACCCTTTGTAACTTTGAGTTTTGAACTACATGTTCTTTAAAAAATGGGGAAATCCCTACATTTTTGAATCATATAAAGGAACGGCAACTAAAACTGAGTTTGGATTATTTGCCAGAATTTTTTTTTTTGGAAAAAATTTCAAAAAATAAATAAATGAATGAATAAATAAGATAGATAAATAAAAAAAGGGGAAAAAACTTACAGAAAAGTTTTTAGTAAAGATGTGATTAGTGCATGTATTCCTTATTTATTCTTTTCATGTACAAATGCACCATGTTACTGTATATTAAAGGAATAACTGTATAGTTTTTTGGTTTTATGATGTGATCAATCAATTTGCTCGCGTGATAATTGGCGTTTATGCGTAAGATTATCACGCGAGCAAATTGATTGATCATCATCATAAAACCAAAAAACTAGACAGTTTTTCCTTATATTTACTTTTTTACCTGATCTTTGATATCCCGCCAGGTGTATTACTAAGTAACACGCAGCGAGAAAGCATGCAGTTCTGTCACGTGCTGAGCAAATAGCTTTATGGGGTTAAAAATCTATTACCTCATGTGTAGTTTTATCTCAGAGAAAGACATAGGAAAATGTAAATATTAAAGAATAAAATCTAATAATCACCTACATATAGCGTACATCCCATAAGACGACGAAACGTTTAATTGTCTAAAAATATCATTCGTTTTACTTATGATCTGTTTTATTACATTTGTCCCATACAAGGTATTTAGACGAGGAAAGGTAAAGTCACGCAAAATTTAAATAGGGGATCCTGTAAAGGTAATGGTAGATCCATCCTCACAACGTCAGGGGTCCTTAGTCAACACGTTGCCGTTGGACCCTTGACAAATTTCATTCGACATATTGCGGGATGACTGCAGCGACGTCTTTTTGGAAAATTACAAATCTTCACTGTTTTTCTTATCTCTCAATCAATCATATTAAGGATTTTGGTGATGAAAAAATGCATAACATGTGCATTCTAGGTGTCAACTGATTCCTTTCTGTTGACATTATCGATAGCCCCCCTTTTTAATTAAAAAAAATGTAAGAGCTTATAATTTCTCAAAAATATAAAAAAAAAATTCCCCGTCAATCACATCCTTATGTCGTTCTATGCAAGCAGATTGTACTTTTTCTAACGTTTAGAGAATGGCCTTGTACGGTATACTAGTAATAAAAATACACAAGGCTAATCTATAACCGTAATAAAAAGTACAATCTTATATATATTATAAGCTCTTACATTTTTTTAATGAAAGGGGGGGGGGGGGTATAGATCCACAATTCAGGCGCCTGTGGTCCAACGTCAACGTGTTGACTCAGGACCCCTGACGTTGTGAGGATGTGGTAGATCTGACGTCACATCTGATCGATTCATGATCACGAATAAAAGACGAAAAAAAATAATACATTTACCTTTCAAATGTTTCGCCTACCAAAGGGACAGACAAAGTGGCTGTTATCTCTACAATTATTCATTTCTACTCGTATACAATGCAAGAAAAAATGCATTTGAAGTTTCCGCTGACCTCTATGATTCGACTTTAACCCTATTTTCCACTCAATTTTAACTAAAACAATTGAATACTAGACTTTTTTATAAAGCTAGAACTAAGTGGCCTTGTGATTTTTTTGTGAAAGGCATAGAGCTGACTAAATATCTTTACAATAATAGATATTTAACAAGTTTGTCTTTGACTTTCTCTTCGATTCTAACATAAAATTCAGGTTTCAAATAAAATTTGATATTCAATTCAATTCTATAAAAAAATAAAATGTTACCGTCATATAATATGCTATATGTTGATGTTTGTATATGCGACATTTATTAGTTTCTCGACAATATCTACTGCTTTGCAAGAATAAACCATTGCTTTTGGTCTTTCTCAAAAAAGTTTAGAGAATTTGAAGTGCTTTATTGACAAAAAATGTATCAGGTCAACCTTGCGTCCATCTCTTATGCTTTATAACAACATAAGATTATACAACTAAAACTAACTCAAAGTACGTAAAATCATCGCTAATTATTTCCCCCAGTTCGTTAAAGACGAGGACATCCCGGGATATTAATTTGGCTCCAATGGATTCTCTCTGTCTGTCTGCAACACTTTAATTCGTTTCCAGATGATATCTCTATAAGTCCGTTTGTTTTTAGAATGAAGCATTATATTAAAAACTCCCTATGACTTAAGGATAACGCTAATGATTTTGAGGGCATAAGATTGAAATCAAAGTCACAAATCTATATAAAGATGATAACTTTAGTCCTATTTGAGCTTTTGCAATAAACTTAAGGTTATGAATCGGAAGACCAATATTGGGATAGAAAGAAGTTCAAGGCCAGAATTTCATATATAAAGCTTAAAATGTCTTCAGATTCTTGGACCTTTACAAAGAAATTTTAGCTGACTTTCTTTTACTTATGATAATCCTATTTATTTTGAGACTAAAAGGTGAAAGGTCAATGATATTTCATTTAACATTAATGTATAAAAAATCTCCACAATTCGCAAGAAACAAACAAATATTGAAATTACTCTTTTATGAAAAATCACACAAATACTATAGAGGGCAAAATGATCATTTCTTCATACTATAACACATTTTTTTTACGTATGGATGGATATTCGTCTTATTTTAGCTCACCTGAACTGAAGACTCAAGTGAGTTTTTCTGAACACAATTTGTCCGTTGTCTGTCGTCGTTGGCGTCATTGTCAACTTTTCACATTTTCATCTTCTTTTCAAGAGCCACAATGCAAACTTCAACCAAACTTGTCACAAAATATATTCGGGCATTTCTTCAAATGAAGGACCACCCTCTTCAAAGGGGAGATAATTTAGATATAGTGAAAATTAGGCGGAGTCATTTAAAAATCTTCTCAAGAACTACTGGGCCAGAAAAAAAATGGATATTATAGGAAAGCTTCCTGACATAGTGTAGATTCAAGTTTGTTCAAAAAATGAACCCTGGAGGAAGGGTTGGACCACAATGGTCGATCAAAGTTTTAACATGTAAATATATAGAAATGAAACTTTATAAACTTCTTCACAAGAACAGCAAGGCCATGATAAGTCATATCAGTATGGTAACATCTTCAGGAAGTGTAGATTCAAATTGTTGAAATCATAAGCTCCTGTGGTAGAGTTGGACCACAATGGGTGATCAAAGTTTTAAATAGGAAAACTCTCCAAAAATATTCTCAAGAACCGTAAAGCTATGATTAGTCATATTAATCTGGAGCATACCCAGGTAGTGTAGAATCAAGTTTGTTCAAATCATGACCTCTGGGGGAAGAGTGGGGCCACAATGGTCGATGAAAGTTTTACATGGGAATATAGAAAAAATCTTATTATCGCCTAGGCGCCTATGATTTAAAAAAAAAAACCCTTTTGATATTAAGGCCAAGAGGTCGAAGGTCAGTGTCAGGAATTTATAAATTGCAACGATTCTAGAGGATAACTCTGACATTAACTCTAGTCCTATTTGAATTTTTTTACAGGAACTTAATATGAAAACTCTAAAAACACTAAGTCCTTGAATTATCCTGTTTAAATGCAAATGATCTGCTTACAAAATATACCAACATATTCAAGATTATACAAATATAATACAGGTAGTTCCTTTTGGAATTACCGGTATAAAAATTTTACAATCTTAGTGTCTTACCCATGTTACATTAAGTTTATCCTATCTATATCTTCATTATATGTTTCTAAAAAATATTTTGTTTTGTTTCAGACAAGTCATGTGTCAACAACCTCTTAAGGACCCCTGTGTTCTCATCACCAACGATGATTACTACCGCGTACCAACCATATCATCAGGTGTCAACCAGCAGCCTTACTATCATACGGGTCCTTCCCTCGGTTTGGAGGAAGATCTTCCCATTCCCGATTTCAACCATCTGCCCTCCAGCCTGGAGGAAGAAGACAACAACAATCACACCAATACCCTGAGGTCCGCCATTTTCCAGAAGATACTCAACAGTTATCCACAGCTCAACAGAAAACTGAAGAGGAGTCACCATGTAGCTAAAAAGTTCCAGCAGGCACCAGGCAACCTATCTGACTGCGTTTACCAGACTTCGCTGACCCCAGAATCTACAGATGACGCCATCATTGGTGACCTGGCTTCCAGCATCATGGACGACGAGTTTGACGGTGGATACTGCAGTTTCAGTGACAATGCCTCTGTGAACTCCAGTGGATCGATCTCTCCGAACTCCTCCGCGGTTGAACTACTGCAACAAAAGCTTCTCAGTGACGTCGATGTGAAGAGCGAGTGTTCGAAGTTCGAAAACTTTGACAATATTACCAAACCGTGTGAGAATGCTAAGACCAAACCAGTGACCTTTCTTGTCAAGACTCTGCCCAAACCAGCTAAATACCAGTGTAATGTCTGTGGGAAAAGCTACAAAGGAAATACAAATCTAAACTACCATATGGCGACACATACTGGAATCCGTCCTCACAAGTGTTCCATCTGCGGGAAGGCCTTTACCCAGAAGTCCACACTGCGTACTCACTTCCGGATCCACACTGGCGAAAAGCCGTACAAATGCCGGACTTGTGTGCGCGCATTCGCAGATTACTCCACGTGTATGAAACATGAGCGTACCCACAGCGGTGAGAAGCCTTACGCATGCCCAGTGTGCGGAAAGTGTTTTGCCCAGTCCGGAAACATGCTCCGCCACCGTCAGACACACAGGAAGAACTAATTAAAGTGCTTATATTCCAATACTCCCAACACAGTGCCAAGTCATTTTCAGAATCTCTGAGTACAAACGAAAATAAGAGTATGCAAACCACAGATAAAATATTATTCAAGAACATTTTTTGATTGTGTTGAAATGTAAATGCAGAACTTTTCTCTTTTTTCATTATGTTGAATGTTTATGCAGGAAATTTTGTATAACATTAATTGTTATATGTTTGAATGTATATAGTTGTTTTGATGTTAAGGTGCTTTGCGATTATTTTGTAAAATATATAATTACTAACTTGTTAATAAAAATGGAAACGTTCACTGAAATTATTTGTTGAGCAATTTTGTTCATTTTTCTGATAAATGTTTTTAAACTATCATATTCATACATATATACATATACTTTTTAAGATAGCAAAAAAAAAAAAAAAAAAAAAAAAATTCCAAATCCTAAGTTTATATTTCCATATGCAGAATTTTGCTGTTTGTCTTTCCAAAATATTCTAATTTTAGACTCAGATGACCAATCAGGAACTTCGTACATTCAAACGAACAATTACTTCTTTAAGTTGTATTTGTGTCCAAAACGCCATCATTGCATAGAACCTTATGATTGAAATTTGCAAACATCCGAAAAGGCAGGGGGGGGGAACAAAATTAAATTCAAAATACATGCTTAGGCTTAAATTCAAAATACGTGCATAGCTAAAGAAGAATAAATGAATAAACACAGAGAGAGAGAGAGAGAGAGAGAGAGAGAGAGAGAGAGAGAGAGAGAGAAATCTAAATGTGGTGAACATGACATTGTGTCCAATTTGAAATATATCTGGGATTTATCGCGAATTCCAATATTGTCTAGTCGAGGTTGCAGTTCTATTGCAAGAGTTCGACCTGACTGCATAGAAGCGGCAAACAGCCTTTAGATGAATTTTTTTTATATTAAAACTACAGCAAAAGACTTAAAGTGTTCTCCAAAGAAGCGTACTACGGGCCTACATAGGTCTTCTACTGCACGAAATGAATTTTACATGGTTTTTAAACAGATAACTTAACATTCTTAGCGTTGTTAACATTATTTCTTAAACGAGAGAAGAGGACTACTTCTCTTTTTTTTTATGTTTTATCAATCCGGGATTTCGATAGAAAGCGCATGTGCGGAAAGACGCGTACGTAATGGTAATACATAAAATTAAAATTTGAAATTAATATTTCGAAAAGAAATTTGTCGTAAATTTTTCTAAATATTCGTCATCGCAATTTTGAAAGCTATAAGTTTATTTATACGTTATGAACGAAATACTCTAACCTTGGAATGAGTTTAGATTTACTGAGGAGTAAGGAATAAGTGCACATTTTTGTAGCCATCTGATCAATATGTAAAATTCGCTTTTACTGCCTTGCTATCATCATCAACAGGATTGAGACATATGTAGTATCTACTTGTACCAACATTTTATAAATGTTCATATATATATATATATATATATATATATATATATATATATATATATATATATATATATATATATATATATATATATATATATATATATATATATATATATAATGAATTATTCTTTCGAAAATTTAAAAAAAAATAGATGCATTACTACCATGTGCTCATGGTGTGTACCACACGAGCGACCTGTGATTCAGGTACATATCACAGGTGCTTATAGACAGGACCTCCCCCCCCCCCCCCCCGGAATATACATCCCGGGTCCAAGAATGTATTCCAAATTGACCCCCCCCCCCCCCCAAAAAAAAGAAAAATCGTAGAAAAAACGTAAACGTTTAAAACGTTTTTAAAAAATACCTACAGTATTTTTTAATACCGTGGGTATGATTCTTATTATAAATCTTTTGGACGAAACGTATCAAAGTACATGTATGTGCATGTCAGATTTAATGAGTAAATGAAAAATAATAATTAATAATGGATATAAAAAAATCTCCATGGATATAAGATTTTTTAAAATGTACTTTTACAATAATAATGAAAACATGACAGAATTCTTGATCAAATTATTATTATTTTCATTTAAAGTATTTTGGAAAGAAATTGAAGAGAGAGAGAGAGAGAGAGAGAGAGAGAGAGAGAGAGAGAGAGAGAGAATTTTTTTAATCCGTCCAATCAAAATAACGTTAGAAATTCTTATTATTTCTACTAAGACACGACGATAGTTCAAGGGCTTAAAAGGAATGTTAGAATTTATTTTACCGCTCCTCCTCTGGATTAAAGTTTGTTGTTGCTGTTTTTTTCTTCTTTTTTTTCTGAAAAAACATATTCCACGCCAGCAGCAGCGTTGGAGTTATCTCTCTTGTGTCGTGCGGAATAAAGAAATCGGCCACGACCGTCAGACACTTCCAACGGTCGCATCGTCCACATATCGTCCATCTTGTTTCTCTGGCTTTCATGTTTGTTTTCTTTTGGCCCTTTCTTGTATTCGTTTATAGTTTGCATCAATATTATCTTTCTACATGTATATGTACAACCCGGAATCTGTACCACTACTCATTCAAAGTCGACATTTAGCTTGCATATGTTTACTTCCTAATTGATACGGGTATTCCTGACTGAGCAAAATGTCATTGTCAAGGAAATCGCGTAAACTACCTGAAACCATAAGTCCTGTGATTAATGATTCTCAAAAGTTCTTCAAAGACATAAAAATATTTATCTTAAGTGCAGGAATAGAAAAAGCTCGGTATGATATTTTTCGAAAGCAGTCGGAAAAATATGGCGGCGTACTTGTATCAGGAGTGGGTGACGATGACAAGCCGGGTTACATTGTTGTTGATGATAAAATGGAATTGGATCGAATGTGTAGACTTCTTAAAATAGATCAACCTCTCCCAGGTGTTAAAGTTGTTAAAACATCTTGGTTAAGTGCGTGTATAAAGCAAAAACAATGTGTAGACTCCACTGCGCATGAACTGGATTTATCTCCATTGATTCGGAAAAGAAAACAAGAATTTGAAAATGATTCGGAGAAAGAAGAAGTCAATAATGGTGCGTCCGAAAACAATAAAGAACATAAACCAGTAAAAATGTGGCATAGCTACAAGAGAACAAAGGTTGAAGAGGATGAGGGGGTGGATCCAGATAGTGATTACGCTCCCAGTGATGGGGAGGATCCAGAAACCGTCCAGGGGCCCAGTACCAGCTCCACATCATCTACATCACCAGAGAAGTTAATTGCTGTAAGTGACAGTAAATTTCTGATTAATAAAGTTCCTGGATGTGATTTTGAATTTCATAGCTGTTCAATATTTCATTTGGATTATTTTATATCATATAATGCTGCTCTTTTTCATAGTATGAAAAGTTATATGAATTTTGTATTGTTCATGTAATTGATTCACATTTGTTTATTTGACTTGAACTACTGAAACTGAACTTTTTAAAATATGTAAAGATATTCTACCATAGAACATCTAGAATAATGATGGTCAGAATGAGCATTATTTTCTTTTTTTAAGTATACTGCTACATTCATAGTTACATTTATATTTAGTTATTTTAAGATATAGTACATGTATCTGTAAAATTGTAAGTCTATTAACATATAAAAAAAACAGCTTGAGTATCAGCTTTTATGGTGAAAGAGAAGTTATTTTCTCAAGCATAAAAATCTGACACAAATTAAAACACTTATAAAAAAAGAAGTCTTACTCTTTCCAGAAAGGACAATGGATATGTACCCAGTCATCAAAAAATGTATCAGAAAATATGAATGAGCACATCACTAGCAAACTTGAGGTATGTTTAACAATTATAATCTTAACTGGATTGGTGATCTGTAATAGATATTTTAATTATCATTTTAGTAAATAGGATTTACCTCCCTTCATTCATAATTACCATGATTACAGATCCAGAATGGAATTACAAGGTGATTTGTTGTGAAATTTGTTTTCAGCATGATTATCTAAAGACCTGAACAAAGGATAAGGATTTTATTATTGTAAAATTTATCTTTAACTTTTTAGAGGTACTTGACCTCAGTTCATTTCTCTGGTGTTGGAAGCATGCTTTCCAGTGTGAAGTTTATTTACATGCAATTTGAAATTGCAAAATATTGTCAAGCAATTGTCAAATATATTTATCAAAGGAAGTGTGTTATGAAAATATTTCAGGAAATGGTGAAGAAGTACCAGTCAACGAGTGATCAGTGGAGAGCTTTTGGCTACCAGAAAGCCATTCAGGCACTCAGAAAACACTCCAAACCAATCACTTCATGGGAGGTAGGTATTTATGTCACCACATCAGTTGACATGAAGACATTATATAATCTCAAAATCACAAGTACATGTTAATATGTAAATATAAAATGGTCCTTGACAGATTTTCATAAAACAGGGGAAAATTTAATTATTTTGCTCTATTATAGGAGGCAAGGGGACTGCCAGGTGTAGGAGCCAGATTAGCGGACAAGATCTGGGAAATTGCTGAGAGTGGAGAGCTCCGTAAACTCAATGAATTTAATGCAGATGAAGACATCAAAGTTATAGAGCTGTTTACTAATGTGTGGGGAGCTGGTGCCCATACCGCAAGGCAGTGGTTTCAACAGGTAAATTCTACAGTAATATACATGTATGATGTTTAATTGAAAATCACATATTTAGGTCTGTCAAGGGCTAAAGTTTGTCCCAGTGATCTAATTTTCTTTATGGAGGGAGGTTGGGGAAGGAGATGTATAATTTAAATCGGAAAGGAAATAAAATGGAGGTCTTGAAAACATTGTTTTAGAATTACGAGCCCTTGTACAGCAATACTAAATCCTACTTATGATAAAATATAAGATCTTCAATCTGCATCAATTTATCTGTGCTGGAATAGGGTACGACTGGGATCAGTATGTGGTCTAGAGAAACCCATTGTAGTTCTTTGAACAATGAGTAAAACATCTTCTGAGATGAATGTTACAGCATCAGCTGGATTCAGAAAGATCTAAATCGCATCTGTCATGTTGGCAGACATAAACACATTTTTTTCTGTTTATAGCAATGTATTTTGTTAAAGTTGGTATTTCATTTGTTAACAAGTGAAGTTATTCAATTATCACAGAATCCATATAAATGTCTATCATACTCTATGTTTTTGAAGGGTTACATGTAACAGCCTTAATGGTAGTGCACTTTACTTACATACATGTATTGTGTATTAAATATGTTAATGAATATTTTCATTCACATTGTAGTTTCATTTTCAACCCATTTGGAAAGATTTAAAGTATTTATAAGCTATATTAAGTATTCTTAAAGATAAAAAAGTATAGTCAAACACATTGTATCTCTTTTATGGATAGGAAACAAAGATATTTCATAATACATGTGTAGAACTTGTAAATTATGTTTTATTACCTTGGAATAATCTGCGCTTGGAAAGAGCCTCACATTTTAATTTGTGACTTATTTCGATCTTTTTTCAAGTTCTTTTATCCATATATTGTTCATCAGTAAGAGGAGAGTTAATCACATGAAAATAAAATGGTCATTCAAGTGAAATAAACTCTGAAGTATAAACACTGCAAAATTATGCTCATAGAACAATGAATTAAGATTAAAGAAAAAAAGAAAACTTGTCACAGATTATTTGCTGCTTTCAGGGATTTCGAACTCTTGATGACTTGCGAACTAAAGCCAAGTTGACCCACCAGCAGAAAATTGGATTGAAGCACTATGATGATATCCTGGATAGAATGCCAAGAACTGAGGCAGCAGCCATAGAACAAGTGGTAGGTGTGAAAAAAAAGAATAGATCAGAGTAAGTGGTAGGAGTCAGAAAATAATACCAAATAACAAGATGTAGGCATAAAAAAGAAAACCACAGAACAAGTGGTAGGTGTCAGTTAATAATACCAAAGAACAAGTGGTAAGTGTCAAAAAGACAACCAAAGTACAAGTGATAGGTGTCAAAAAGAATACCACAGAACAAGTGGTAGGTAAAAAAAATACCACAGAACAAGTAGTAGGTGACGGAAAATAATACCAAAGAACAAGTGATTGGTATCAAAAAGAATACCACAGAACAATTGGTAGGTGTCAAAAAGAATACCATAGAACAAATGGTAGGTATAAAAAAGAATACCAAGAACACGTGATAGGTGTAAAAAAAGTACCACAGAACAAGTAGTAAGTGTCGAAAAAATACCCCAAGACAAGTCGTAGGTTTCAAAAACAAATACCAAATTCATGATACATTGTGTAAAAGCATAGCACAAAACAGGTAGTAAGTATCAGAAAGAACAACACAAATGAAAAATTAAAAAAAGGTACCAAAGAACAGTAGTAGGTGTCAGAATACCACAGAACAAGTTGTAGGTGTCAGAATACCACAGAACAAGTTGTAGGTGTCCAGTAGAACACAATAGAATAAGTAGTCATCATAGAACAAGTGATAAATGTAAAATGAGAAAACCACAGAACAAGAATTAGGTGTCAGAAAGAAGGTATATGTCCATAATACTGTAACAATAAAATTAGTACAGTGGAATAAGTTGTAGGTGTCTTCAACAGTATTGCAGAACAAGTGATAAATGGTAAACAGAATAACACAGAACAAGTGGTAGGTGTCCAAATGAACAAGTGATTGGCTTAAAAAACAATATTATACAAGTTGTTAGTATGAATAAAAGACCTCAAAGTGGTATGTATCAGAAACATCATAGACAAGTGGTGGGTGTGAGTAATGGAACAATTGGTAGAAAACCATAATAAAGGTGGTATGTGTCAGAAACAGTACCATACAGCAAGGTGTAGAGATCTCTCCCCTCACCCCAACCTCTCCAACACACAGTAGAACAAAAGATGTCTAAACAGTACTGTATAAATGTAAAAGTAATTGGAAAGACTTTACAACAAGTGGTAGATGTTAAACCAACAAAACAGAACAAAAACAAATTAAAAAATACGTTTTTTCAAATAAATTATTCCATGGAAAAACAAATAAATGGTTGGAACAATGGTATAGATTTTACCAGATTATTAACAGTCTGAATTAAATTGTCCTGGATTTCTGTTGTATCATCTAAAGGTGAGGGAGGCAGCAGAGTTCCTTGTACCTGGGGTCATTGTCCAGTGCTGTGGATCATATCGCCGTGGGAAACCTACCTGTGGGGATGTGGATGTACTAGTGACACACCCTGATGGGAAATCCCACAAAGGCTTGTTCTCCAAACTACTAGCCAGGCTGAAAGAGAGTGGTAGGTGCTCTTATGACTATAGATGTTCTTAAACATCTTTTGTAATTTTAAAGTATACGTATCTAAACAAGATAGATAAGAGGAAAGACAGAGGGTAATCTAGATAAGATAAACTTCACTCAGAATTTGACAAAAAGCCATTTAAGACTGAAAACAAATGAGAAAGATTTTAAAAGAGTAAAGGCTTTTAGAAAATTGAAATAATTAACACTACATTTAAAAAAAAGACTACAGGCCCTTTGGTCACACAATGCACCACAATGCATTGTTCTAACTTTCTGATAAATGAATATGCAGTTAAATTTCTTATTGTATTTTTAATCTAAGTTGAAGATCAAAAATAGTAAATCTATTGATGTCTACATAGGATTATGAAAGAATATTGTACATATGCAATAATCTTGATCTTTTGTAAAAGATTTAGCTAACCACAATGACCCAGGGATCGTTGTTCTGAACAATCTGACTTCAATTTACATGAGATTATTTGCAAATTAATTAAAATGAGAAATATTTAATTTCTTGTTCCATGTAAAGATATTTTAAAAAAAAGTAATCACCTCAAGTCAATTTTCAATCTTGGCCTACTTCAAAATTTTGCTTAAAGAATAGACAAATTGTTAAAGGTTAAATTAAAAATATGTTTGGTAGTTTTTGCTGATTTTAATCCGTTTTAAAGGTAAAATACTAAACTCCTGATTGTTAATAAAATCTCTCCCTCTTCCCCCCGTCATTGTTGCTGACATTGACGATCGAGATTGCAGAAGTTATGACTACTTCTACTTCACACAGACTAAATAGAATGTATGTCTCACCGTTTGTCAGGAAAACGGCTGGTAATGCATGTATTTGAGTGGAATATTGATTCGGTAAGCACATGCATGCACAGAAGAAATTATTATACCAAATTTTTCTGATAAACGTTCGGGTATATTCTTGTTGTCCTGGTCCATTTATCCTTCAAACTATCTTCTTCCCCAAACTCCTCTTACATTTGAACAGTAAGCATTCCATCTTTTGGAATGTTATTGGTGGTGTCCTGTAGATCAGAATTTTTATTTTCATCTTGGGGGTCAATCAAGGTATTTTCTACAAAAAACCTGGATACCAGAAATTCTCTAACATTTTGAGCAAAAGTGAAATTATCTTTTGGAGTATGAAAAAAAAGGTTTTGGAATTTTCATTTTTTTGGGTGTCAAAAAAGTGAGTTTTTCTACAAAAACCTGGGACCCGTTATACAAAAGAAATTACGACTAAGAAAAAAAAACAAATTGGTAATAAAACTTGCAAAATCAAGGATTCTGTTAAAATTGTTTACATAAAAATATATATGTAAATTGATTTTAAAAAGAATTAAAATCATTTCAAATTAACGTAAAAAAAGGAAGATATAATTAAGATTACATGTCTTAGTCAAAATTCCATTTGTAAATCAGGCCCCTTGTCCCCTGCTTGCTTTCAATGGTGATAGTGAGGATGGATGCTGTCAAATTGAAATTTGTTACTTTGGTTCATAGAATGAAATATGGAGATACATTTAACGAACAGTATTCAAGCTCAAAGTCCATTAAAACAATACAAATCGGGAGCAGAGCAAACACAGACCTCTGAAACATCAGAGGTGGGATCAGGTGCCATAGACCAATATTTCAAAGTTTGCTTATTTATTGATGTAAAACTGGCAAGCATTTACCCACACGCTCTTTTCCTCGGGAAGAAGACGAGGAACACTTTGCACAAACTCGCTGAATTCCAGTTTTACAGTTAAGAGTCTCTTGAACAGTCCTATGAGCTAGATATATATATATGACTAAAATCATCAGATGTAATTATGACTCTGCAATTTTTCATTACAAACTGCTCGACTACACACACATTCCTTTTGTTACTCATGTTTATTGGGCATCCAGAAGGATCATCATCTTTAACTGTCTCCCTTCCCTCACTGAACCATTTCATCCACTAACTATTGTTTTTAGTTTTTGCAGTTTTATAGCTATAAATTCATGTAGATCACTAGGCCTATTTATTTCCATTAAAGATTTTCCAAGCTTTAAGTAAAATTTATATCAATATGACTAACTCATCCATTTTTGTCACAAGACATCTGCATATTGACGTCATCTTCATATTGACGTCATTTTATCATTTTAGCATCGAAGTACCTGTTGCAAATATCATGTTTCACACGCTGTGTTTAGTACATGTTTATGACATTTAGCCTTCAGTTTGGACTTCAGTTTGATCTGTACTGTGGTTATGTAGGTACAGAGATAATTCGTGCACTTTTTGGTCAACCCTTGTATTTCTGACATTCATGTGATAACAGTGGGAATCATCTGTCTTTTACCATTAGTAATGGGAGATATGATTATATTATGTGTAAAAACAGTGATGTTATTACTTTGTTCTCACAGTTTGAAGTTTTCCTATAACCTTCTGATATTTCCTGCTGTGTAGTATTAAAATCAGAAAGTACTGATATCATTGAAATTCATATCTACAAACAGTCCTCTAGGGAAGAATAATTCCTATAGGTATAGTTGTGTCACGTGAGGAACATCAATGTGAACGTCATTACAGTAAGGCCTTTGGGCTTCTATGGTATTTTAAAAAATTCAATGGAGCGAACATAATTGCTCATAATTCAAGGTGATATTATACCCAAGAAAAATTAAAATCGTTATATTCACTGAAGAGTAATCATTATATGAGTGAACACAGTCAAGAATGTAGAAAGTGAATTGATTTAAAACCCACTCTTCTCAGAATTTTTTTTTTTTAAATTTTGTCCTTTTATGAAAAAAGGAAATATCTTAAGTTATTGATTCTTTCTGAATCTAGCAATTAAATACAGTTTATATGTTGTAGTTTTTCTAACGTTTGACTCTTTTATATCTTGTTGATCAATGCCCGCTGTCTGATACATGTATCTAATAATTATGCAGTATATGATCTCTATATGACAGATCAACGTACTATAGTCGATGACCCTGTGTCAATGTATCCATACAAGTCATGTGATGATCAATACCAACTATGGTTCCTTTCAATAGCATGTAGAATATATACATGTAATATAAGGACCAATTCTAAGTATATTGGTCTTTACTCAGTATTGACTCTTCATCATCGGCTGTTTATTAAATTCCTGTCTTTTGATTATATATTCATTTATCTCCCTTGGAGAGTATTTTGATCCCAACATTTATATCAATATATGAGTTGGAAATTGTCGTAGGAATACATATTGGAAATGATTAATGCATGATCAAAAGAAGTGAGTGCCCTTTGGATTGGTCAATGTAAAAGTCATAATCTGGATATGGACCCACAAGTCTTTACGCTGAAACAGTCTTCTCTGTAATCATAGCTACCTAACACAGTTCATTGGTAGTGAATCATGTTACATGTATTGTTTTGTTGAAGTTTGTTAAAAATTAAGAACTTCTTTTCTGTAAATCTTGTTCATTTAATAATTAAGAATTATATGAAGGCAAAGAACTATTTTTTGAAGTAATTAGAGGAAGAGAGTATTGTATAAGTTCTATTCATTGTAAGACGAGAAAGTTGAGTGCCCACCTGGTTTATTTTTAAAAAGTTTTGAAGGTCAAAACCGTCATCCAGAAGGTGCATGTCTTTTTGTAAAATTGAAAGGGTGCTTTTCAGTTATTTCCTTAACACATAAAACCCATATACAAACAGGAAGTTTTTTCCTTCCAGAAGTTGTGTTTATGTATATATAATTGTTGACTCCGTCAAAAAAATTGTACAACGCAGTTTGATAAAAAAAAATAATTCAGAATTTAGAAAAAAAATATTTCGTTTTGAATATTTCCATAATTAATACAGCAAAAACAGTGTTTGACAATGGGCATTTTAAATTTTTCCCTTGTGTATGAAACATGAAAGAGAGGATTATAAACCAAAGCTTTGTTGTGCAACTGTTTGAAATAAATTAGTAAAAATATTTTAATATTTGACATTCTATTCAACGAATAAACTGATGACGTAAATAAAAAATACGGTTTTTGCACAGTGAAATTTTAAGGGGGAAACTGATAGCAATACTCCGGTACGTTATGAAATCGGGGTGAAATCTTTCTTGTATTTGACATATTTCATTATATGAGGAATAATATTATAAGCCCCAATGGATTTAAAAGAGGGCAAAAGTGTCTATATTAACATATTTATTATACTTTATACAACATAGTCAGATGTAAAAATGTTTTTGCTGACTATAATAACAACTACATTTAGTTTTTAGAACAGTTTTGACGTCTAGGCTTAACTTGCCTGTGTCAAATTAATGTGTTGAAATGACCAATATGACCAAAAATGCAACTACATTAGAAAGCTAAAAATTGATTTATTTCCACATAAGCAAAAGCCGGAAAAGAGTTTATCAGTTGAAGACAAAAAGAAAGAAAGAAAGAAAGAAATCCGAACATTTACACTTAACTTGATGTATTCAAAATTCAAGTGATATTACTCAGTTCGTATTGTAGAAAATATGCTCAAAATCTGAACTCTGTCTCTTACAAACACCCTTCAAAATGGAGTTTAAAACCTGGAGGGATATTGCATATTCCTATAGAAAGGGTAAAGACTGAAACTGAACTTAATCTGCAATTCTTCCTCTTGTCAATATATGCAGAACTGGTAGCAAAAAGAGCGCACAAATATCATTGCGCAACCGCTAAATATGACAGAAACCGGCTGTCTTGAATAGACATCTTAAGGACAGCACTCTCTGCAATTGTCAGAAAGAATTGTAGGAGTTAACTCAAAAACAGACATCGGTTGTCACGTGCTGCTTCTGTTGTTGACTATAAACCAGTGAAGACAACAGGGTATTATGCTTGAAGGATATTCACTGGACAATGAACTAGTCCAATAATTGGAATAAACATTCAAAAAAATGTTTTTGTCAGCTCTAATAAACTTGTGTTTGAAATTTCAAATTAAGTATACGTCTTATTGATTATTACGTCGTT